GCTCCGCTTACAAGCCCGATATTGGTACCTCACCAGCCGAGTTAGTCTATGGGACCACGCTCCGATTACCATCAGAATTCTTTATTGACAGCAGCAGTCCGAGCAATGAGGTAGAGACCGTCATACAGCTTCGTCGCATCATGCGTGACCTACGGCCGGCGGATACGGCCTGGCACACAAAGAAAACACCTTTTATGCATTCAGCCCTGCAAACATGCGAACAGGTGTTCGTACGGGACCTGTCAGTACGTCCATCATTGTCAGCACCTTATAAAGGACCATACAAGGTCCTCCAACGGCACCACAAATACTTCGTGATCAATATTAATGGCAACTCTGTGAAAGTGTCACTCGACCGTTTGAAGCCAGCATTTATCGCCGAGCCTCCGGACTAGGAGGGGAGTACTGTGGCAACACCACAAAAGCCGATACGTACGACCAAAATGCAACCTTGCTCTAACTTACATTCTTCTTTACACTGTCATTCCTTTCACGTTAGTAGAACAGAAAAATAAAGTTTTACACTCTCTTCTATTCTTGCGCTCCACCGAACCACACGTGTTTTTCTTAGTATCGTAATCTCCACATATATATTTATTTTTACATACACAATATCACATCTATATAGTTACATACACTGCGGAACCAAAAAAAAATTGGCACAGCGAATTTTTCACAATATATGCAACAATTTTCATTCTAATATTTTTCCGCTAATTTCGTATAAAAATATGGTTCATTCTACAACAAAAAACATAAAAATATAATTCCTAAACCTTTTGCAAAACTCGCGAAAACTCAGCAAATTTTTATTGAGATTTTTTAGAATTTTACAGTATGCAGTTTTGCAGCCCATTAAATTCTAGTAAAAAAATGCAAGCGCGGAGTTAGTCAAAAATCGCGTTGATTTTTGAGAATTTTTTTGTTGAAGGTATTTTGCATTTTTTCCATATAAAGTATTTTCGAAAAAAAATTTTTGTATGGAAGAGACTGCGTAAAAAATGCGAAAAATCAACGGTAATTTCTAGCTACATAAAACTTGCATTGATTGGGCTACAAATCTGCATAATCAAAAAATTCTAAAAAATCTGACTATAAAGTTGCAAATTTTCATGAAAATGTGCTGAATTTTCGCGAGCTTTGCACAAAGTTTGGGAATTATACTTTTATGTTTTTTGTTGTAGAATGAACCATATTTTTATATGAAATTAGCGGAAAAATATTAGAATGGAAATTGTTGCATATATTGTGAAAAATTCGCTGTGCCAATTTTTTTTTGGTTCCGCAGTGTATGTATATAGATGTGATATTGTGTATGTAAAAATATATAAATATGACCCACCACACATACATATGTGCATTTATATGTATGTATATCGAATAAAACGATTTCAAAAAACAATTAGCTATGTTTAAGTCAGAAAATTTTTCTTTTTTTTAGTTGACCATTGACCCCGGAATTTACGATAGGGAATTTATTTTTGACGAATCAAAACCGTTTGGCTCTTTTCAGCAATACTTGGAGTACTACTAAATACTATTACATTTAGGTCTCTTTAAATTTTCGATCGCTAGATATTTGCTTTTATAAAAATTATTTTCTTTGTTCAACTATGACCTTGGAATGAATTCAAGGTCGATTAACTTTTTTTGAAGAATCTGAATAATCTTCCTTTATTCACCAGTATTTGGGCTTTATAATACCGTTTAGTTTGTGTCTCTATCTGGTTTGGATCGGGAGATATTTGGTTTTGTCCATTTTTTCCCAAAACAGAACACAGTGCACCGCCCACCACAACCACAAGGCAGCACCCCCGTTTGCAGCACATACAGCAGGAAGCCGGCAGGCAACACAACTTCCTAACACTTCACATCACAATTGGTCCCCCAAGGCACACGAAGGTGCTACAGTTCAACTGCAACTTCAGAGCAAGATCAAGGAGATAACTGTCTTCGTGGGAAGGCATGTAATATTGATAGCTGCGGCCAAGAGACAAAGTTGCACGGATACAACGGGCACCGTCGAGATCGCGAGCGAGACAATAGTGGAGGCTTAGCGTTTATCACGCAGCACACCGTGGAGTATCGTCCAGGGATACCATCCTAGAATGTCAGGGTCAAGCGATGTCGAGCTCGAAATATTTAACGTATATATACCCCCTGTCAATAGCTGCCCGGCAGGATATCACCCTGAAATAGGTGCGCTACTTAGAGGTGAAAACTGTATGGTAGTTGGCGACTTTAATGCGCACCACGATCTTTCGCACTCAAGCCTGTCGAATGATCGTAGGGGAACACATCTGGCTGAGCAGATAGACGAATCGACATTCTGCACAATGAACGACGACGCACTCACCAGGATTATGGGCAGCTGCTTCATCTCGCCAGATCTAAGGATTGTTAGCGCTGGTCTGATAAACAGTGTATCATGGCGACCTGTGCTGACCCTAACATCAGACCATCTGCCCATAGTCATCTTGATTGATAAACTTGCCGACTTAGCTTCCGCGGATCATCGGACCTATGTCAACTTTTCCAAAGCTGACTGG